TATTCAGAATCATCAGTACATGTACTTGGCACATATTCAGATCCAGAATCATTATTTTCGGAACCTTGACTTTCTGTTTCTGGTAATTCAATACTAGATAAAATATTATTATCCAGACTTATTTCAACTTCACTTCCTATTGAATCATTTAAACTTATATCAATAGGATCATACAAATCATTGTCTAGTTCATCTTTAAGAGAGGAATTGTTGCTTAAAATATTACCATTTTCATCGGCAATGAAAAAATCTGAAACAATATCTTCTTCATTATCATTTGTAACATAAACCTGTATAAGGCATTCATCTAAGTTAATATCTTCAAGTGGTAAAGTCGGTTCGATTGTTTTATCAGAAAAATTGCTTTCATTTTTTGCATTACTCGTTTCTCTTCTAATAAGTTCATTGATAGGAACATCGTCGTCTGAATCTGAATTTTCAAAATGTATCTCCATTTTCTGTTTAACATGAACTACTGGTATATCTTTTCAAAATCAGCTTTTGTTCATATTCTTGTTCACAAACAACTGCGAGTATACTCTCAAGATGAAAAATATGGTTTGCGATCAGTTTAAGTAAAGATTCTCTGACATTGTTTTGATGACATTGAATAAAGCGGTCGAGGGACTTCTCATACATTTCATTCACCTGCAACTTCTTTTGCTCTAGTTGTAAAAGACGTGACCTTGCATATCTTGCTTCTGGTAGGTCCATTTCTAAAAAAGAGAAATAAGTTAGATATCAATTTGAACAACTTTGAAAGAATGTTATCATTTTCTTTTATATCAAATAAAACTGGAAGTAGATTGAAAGTTTTAATCTTTTAAAGTGACAGAATATTCTCAATACAAATGATACAAATGTCACGGCTTTAGGAAACCCAATATGTTACTTTACCTCTAATGTGTTATCCAATATAATTTATCCGAGTACTATAACACTTTCAATGAAATCAATTTTAGACAAATATATACATCAAAATCTTCACTATAATACGAATATAATGTGACAAAATACCTGCTATATAAATTGTTTATCCGCAAAAGTAGATGCTGCACCAAAAGTCATCCATGTAAACTGTTTCTTCTTTTCAAAAATAATGCGCCTTGAAATTAACATTTAATAATCTAGAATCCAAATAATTTTATCTTAGCTACGTTATTTTCTAGAGTTTACCAAACATAAACATTAAAATTATTGCTTTCCATGTTATTCTGGAACAAGAAATGAAAATGATAAATACTTTAAATGATTTAGAATGCGTGTTATGATATTTTAAACGGTTAGCTTTGTAGAGATTTAACAAAATTTTAAATTATACAAAGACGTATCTACCACTTATCCCCTTTTAGCATAGAACACAATGCTGAATACCCTAATTGATAAAAAGGTTATATGTGGTAGATATCACCATTTTGCCTTTTAATATTTTTCTATTTTTACTTATCACCTTTTTTCAAAGCCTCACTGTGGTTTATGTGACGTATGTACAATGACGGGAACTAGATAGGCACATGCGCCCAAATCTGTAGTATTCAAATATGTTATCATGCAAGAAGGCGTTAAGTAACACTTATCCCCTTATAGCACTATGCCATCGATTTATCATAAGAACTCCAAGAACTCCATCCTTCGTGTAACAGTTCCTCCCCCGTGAAATCTAAATCTTCTTAAAACAACTGTTGAAATAGTAATAAAGAGATTTAAAAGCCTAATAAGCACGGGGGAGAAACTGTTATTTCAGTTCATTTTTGCCCGCAATGTTTTTCCCCATTTATTGTCATCTTAGATTTAAACAACATTACTTACATTGTTTCATTTTAATCAAAATGTAATTTGATTTGAATAGGAATTTATGATAAAACATTTAGTAGATAGTTCCACGGAAAATTTTGCAACTGTTATGAGTCAAAAGCTCGTTTCAATCGTCTTATTCTTATGCCCGGTTCGAGAAGAGAATATTATGACTAGAACAGCTTAGGAGAGAAACCCAATCGAACGCAAAAGTATCAAAAAGGCGATCTGTCATATTTAATTTCATATACATGTATTTATTGAAAAGCTGTTAGAAACATCTAGAAAATATCATTATTGTGATTTTATATTTATTCTGACTTATATCTTCTTCCGACACTTCGTGTCATCGATCAATCAAACAGTTTGAAAGAACTCTACCTATAACGGAAGCTCTTCTAAAGTATCAATCGAACAGGCTATTAGTGTTAAAATGACCAATGAAAATTCTGCCCATATTCATTTTTGAACTGTTAATTTTAGCGGAAGTCAAGGTGAAATCAGACGGCCATCGGCAGAAAAAAAGAAACATAACGAATTGACCAGGTGCAGGATTTTGCATCCATGTACCCCTAAAATACCTGCTCGGAAGCATAATTCTTGATCTCTTGCATCCAAACCGATACAGAAAATTGTAATACTGTTTTCATAAATATTGCTTAATATCGTAAAAAGCCCATGCAGTGCATAAGTACTTGCTTAACTTGGAAGATATAACCAACCGTGATTACGTAAGGAGTTTGTTTGTTTTGGGGTTTACGTCACATCGACACAGTATAGGTCATATCGCGACGTTCCAGCTTTACTGGTGGAGGAAGACCTCAGGTGCCCTTCTGTGCATTATTTCAGGCACGAACGGGCACCTGAGTAGAACCACCGACGTTCCGTAAGGTAGCTGGATAGCTTCCTCACATGAAAGAATCCAATGTCCCTGTCGGGATTCGAACCCACAGAGGTGAAGGGCAAGTGGTTTGAAGTCAACGACCTTTAACCACTCGGCCACGGACGCCCCTACGTAAGGAGTGAGACTGCTTCAATTTAATGTTAAATATGATCTTTTCGTATAAACAATTTCCTTATTAGACATGGAAACATTATTACTATAATTTAGACAAACTAATTGCATAATTGAATGGCCATTTCTGACATTCTTCTTGTGCGGTTCATATCACCCCGTATAGCATCTTTCACGTTTCCTTATAGCTTCTATCACATTTAAGTCTAGAGATTTAGGTGATATTCCATAACGTTGATGTTTATAATTGTAATATTCAGAACGTTTGTCTGCGCTCTGGGCCTGTGCATCCTGAAGAAACTGCAAATATGTACGTGGTTCTTTAGACATTGATGAAACATCATTTATTGGTTGTGATCGGCGCGGAGATAACTTAATGAACAAATTGTTTGTGACAGTCTTCCTGAACATCCCTGTGGAGTGCAACAGACCATCGCCCAGTGACGAGCCAAGATAATTTAAGACTAAAAGCCACCCCAAAATTAAATGTACAACAAAAAATCAAACTGCAATATTGTTATTAAACTCAACGTCGTCATGTATCTCAATTGTATATATTGAACATTCTAGCATTATATAGGGTCAATATTTACTCACAGTATAAGTTATAGAAAGAGCATCGAAACACGAGGCTATCTGAGGCGTAGCCCCCGAGTATTAATCAGATTGCCGAGTGTTTTGATGTTCTTTCTCTTTTGTATCATACTAGTCAAACAGAAAAACACGTTCCCTTTTGTCACAATATGAAACCCCGGGAAAAAGTAACCAATGAACGAGCATCTAAATATGATATTTCTGTCGCTTTCTCTTTCTTTTCCGTCACAATATATAAACCCCACCAAAAACGAGTCAATCAATGAGCATGCTCAGGAGTGCGGGTAACTAATACCGGCACTCCAGTTAACGCACTGTGCATGTATATGTATACAATTTAACTCTGACACATTTTCAACAGAAAGGTCCCCGAACTATGATACAAGATATTTATACATGCAAACTTAAAATACTTGTTCAGTGTAATTAGCTCGTGTATATGCGCCACGTCACGGTGTTAGGCTTTTAAATAATCATTGTACCGGTAAACAATCCAGGAACTGTGCTCTGGTGAATTCGCTGTGCCTATTTTTATATCAACATCCTTTTACAAGAAGTAATAGAGAATATAAAAAGTTACTCCAGTGTGTAATATATTATGTCCCTTAGGCGAGCTTTAGTCGATTTATTACTGCACTTGAGAATTATCTGAGCTTTTTCTAAATTTCCATAATAATACAATTAAAACTGGAAGTATGTTGTTGTATGTTTGTTTTATCAATAAAGAACTCTGACTTATTTCAGACAGTGTTACAAGTTTTAAGTGGTATTAAAAACCTGTCTGTGAGGTGAACTTTTGTGATTGCAGTGTCGCTGTCGTTAAACAACAGTTCTACTGTGGATTTTGACCAAACTTCTTTTCCGGCTACGACATTGAAGATACATGTTTTGAAACGTGTAAAGTACACTGCACAGGCAATTGCAATTCAAGTTGTACATGCGGATATGAGAAAAAAAGGCAGCTAAAACCTTTTTCCATTTCAAGATGTTCAACCGTGTAATTGCATGGTGAATTGCATGCATCCATTCATTCTTACTTAGCATGCTTTTCGTAAAAAAAATTGAAACCACTTTAGATAATTCGTTTTTTTTGTGTGTTTTTTACCCCGTTAATGTTATTTAATCATTGACAAAATGGGAACTATATACGTAAGAAATTGAATATAAATAGACTGTCAAATTGTCATTCTTATTCTGACAAATGCATGTCGAACAAGCTTCTCGTTTTAAAATTTGCTATTAGATGTTAGCTCGAAACATCCGATAACTTCTTTAAGGGAGAAAACTCTTATAATACGGTTTAATGCCATACTATCAATAAGGGAAACAACACGCCATTAAAGTTTCAGAAAGTTCTCTATGATGCTTGACTAAGTTATTAAATGAAAAAAAATCGTTCTGGTGAGAAAAATAACCCTCTCCTAATTAACAGCGATCGATTATATAAACTACGTTAGACTTTGCACAAATACTTGATGGACTCTGTTTGCTTTGTTTCAACATGAAAAGACTGTACTGCATCTAACAAAAGTCAAGGATTTTTATCAATGCGATCTAGAAAGATAAATTAATACCTTACATAATAAACTTTTATCTTGATCGTCCTTACATGCATTAAGATGGGGAAGAGAGATTCTTATAGTGATGGAAATAGTAGAAATGCTGCACATGGTAGAAACAAAAGCAATGCAACATATGATAACAGAGGTAACATTATGTTTTACCCAAATCTATATTATGTTTTACCCAAGTCTATATTATGTTTACCCAAGTCTATATTATGTTTACCTAAGTCTATATTTTGTAGATTTTTTTTCAAATGTAAATTGATGTTTGTTTGTTGTGTCTGTCTGAATTTAAGTCAATGTTAACATATTTTGTGGCCATTTGTCGACGGTCGGTCCACCTAAATGGCTGTGCTGGATAACTATTACCATCATTTCCTATTTATTTTTCCGCAAGTGACCGACTATTTACCGACGTGATATCTGAATCAGCAGCGACAAAACAAAGTACCACAGACAAAGCAGCATGTCATCTATGTATGTTCCTTTATGTTTGTGCAAATGCAGGTGGTTACCAATCAAAATAAAACTATTTATTCATGTCTTAAAGATTAAAAACTTGCTTGTTGATAATTTGTACATTTTTGCAGGTTTTCCTGTAGTAAATATAACACTTGTTTATTTCTTGTTAAAATTACTTAAAATGCCTTAACTGAAAGTGTCATGTATGTTTACCTTCGCCACCGGAAAAAAATATGGTCGTTCATGATTTCTTACTTTCCGTTATTTATCAAAAGGAGTGACATAGGCGGGAACAAAACAAACAAAAAACATCGTTGTTAACACATCAAACATTTTGTCTGTGGACATTCTATTCTGTTCTTATATACAAATGCATCAGGTATAAAAGTTCACCACTTTTTGCTAATTATTTTCAGATTTGACATTAAGAATATGTAAATTTGGAATTTTTATAATATATTTCGCCAGTAATAGTTAAACATAATTATTAATAAATGTAGTACCCAGCTAAAGAAATAAGAATGCGTCGGCACTATTTTTCTGTAAGTCCTTATATATGGTGCCCTCCGTTGTCGGCAGCCTGCGGAATAAATAAATCTATAAGGAAATAAAATGTCCGCCATTGCAAAATTAGATGGTAAATGTCTGAGGGGAAAATGTCGAAGGAGGTCAAATGTCCTGGAGTTGAATGATGGTATGCTGTTTCACATCATATTGAGATTGTAGAAATACGAACGCCTTAAGTTAATAAAATCGTGTAACATTATCTACAGTCATGTATGTGACGTGATATACATGTATAACAACTCTGATATTAACTTAAGGCCTTGATACTTGATATATTATCATTATGATTTTATTTACGCTGGTTATCTTTAGCTACATTGATAATCTTTCTTTTAGTAGATTTTGATATTTTCGTATAACTGGGTCCTTTGAGTTTTACGTAGAAATCACAGCCATAATCAATAAGGAAGTAATAAGATTATCATGTCGTTGATAATATGGGCTGTTCTCGTTTAATATTCCTATGATAAAACCACCAGGTTTAGACCCAAAAATAGATTAAAACTATCATATCATTCCCCGGTTAAAATTAATTATTGTCAGTACAATCATTATTTTACTGTCTTCAGACGACAAATAAAACAATCTAAATATTACTGACAATTGACAAATTCAAAACACGTGCATGTGGCTGTCAATATAGCACTTTTAAAATGTAGACGTCAAACTTCAAATATTTATTAAGAAATCTATTGATAAAGTGCAAATGTAGATATAAACTAATGTTCTGAAGTTGTGAACTACTTTCTTTGGTTTCTTTCTTTTTTCCTTTCTTCCTTCGATTCTATTTTGTTAATTTATTCACTTTTTTCTTTGTTTTTTTCTTTGTTTTTTTCTTTCCCTTTTCCTTTTTTGTTTGTTCGTTTGTTTGTTACAATATGTCTGTATTGCACACCAATGCGCGGTTAAAATAAGTGCAATGTTTGTAGGTCTTGGTTTCAAGTATTGCTTAACCCAAAAGGTGAACGATGCAAACGCTTAAAATTAGAATCAACGGAAGATAGATTCAATCAGAGGTTTGTTTCCAGACAGACATCATTTAAATAACTTGAGTACAGATACTTCCTTTTACTGTCTTCTTATTCTACTTCTTTTGGAAGTAAAATTATCAATATCTCATTTATTTTCAGATTCAATAAAATTCCATTTCAAATAGATGTCTTTACATACTGTGTATACTATTTACAGGGTATCAAGGAGAACCCGCTGAACAGCGTATCTCTGCTCGACAAGCATATCAGGCCCAATTACAAGGTGAATTCCATGGAAATGTACACCCTTCAGGGAGCCAAACTTCATTCGAAATGCAACCAATGGGTCAACCATATCCAATGGGCCCACAAAATGTACAGTATGCAATACCGATTCAAGGATATCTACCACCTGTGAATGCACAGAACGTTCAGTACGCACAACCGTCTTTTAGTGTGCAAGTTCTTCCTCCAGGCAACCAGTACATGGTGAGAGATTCGTCGTCACCTTTACCGCCTCAAACAGGTAAATGTTGAAATAATAAACAAAGTAGATGAAGTTTCGATATTAAAGTTATCCATGTAAAGAATATAATTTTAACATTTTTAGAATTAATGATTTTATTAAATAATTTGTATGAAAGTCAGGCCAACCTTCTGAATGTTATATGGCATTATCCTACCTTTACTATAGGACGAACACTTTGTTGTCTGCACCTATACATTGTTCCGAAACGGTTTGAACACTTAACTTCTATAAATAGAGGGTTAACTAATGCGTTAACATCTGCTTCGAGACGCATTTAAGCTGTGGGCTCAGGATTTAAAGATATACTATGCTCAAATTTGATATTAGAAAATATTGATAATTGCTACATAGTCTCTTTGTAAATATAAAATAAACCTGTTTTGACTCTACACAAATTTGATGTGTTTGAAATTCTACACACTATAGGTTGGCTCAATATGAAAATATAGTGTCATTAAAAAAACTGGCAGACCAACTTTACTTAATCTGTAATAGGGAACGCAGCTTCCCGTACATAGTTTACTAACTCTTTTATTCAAATTAGACATATTCAGTAAGAATTCAATAGATTTAAATAAATTTCTGTGATAAAAATATTTTTAAGGATGAGCATAGTACATCTTTAATAAATTCATTGACCTCTGCATATGTAAATGCACGAAAAAGTTTCTTAAAAGTATACGTGAGATTCGGTAATTCCACGTTCCGTTCGTTATTTGTTTTTACATAATTTATTTGTTAGTATTTTCAAAATTAAACTGGCCAAGATCGATCTTAAAATGAACACCTAGATTCCATCTATTGCTTTAAGAGGTTCCGCAGGGTACGACAATGTATAACGGAAAGACGGACGGACGACAAAGGGAATTGCATTCACCTTTCTATAGTCATTTGGTCGTATAAAATATTTAGTACAATATAGAGATATATACGAAATGTATTTCTATATTTTCAGCAGACGACTTGAGAACTTACATGCCATCCATTGTATGCATAATTTTCAAGCGGATAATATCAACGCTTTTCATTCTTTTTGACCTGTGCTTGACTTGGTCGCAATTTGCCGCCTGGGTCGGCCATTTCGATCTCCCAGATTGGATGAATGTTTTTGAAAATGTGAACAGTTTGAAATCAAACTCACGATTTCAGTCCAATTGCAGTGTAGGATCGAGCGACCTAACAACCTACTATGGTATCATCGCTGGCATAGGTACAGTATATGCTATATTGAAAATAGTAAATATGATTGGGGAAACAATCCTGGAATACCAAAAGCAGAATCCGAGTGAGACCGAAGCAGGTTGCAGAGGTTTTCAATTCATACATGGTTGGATTGAAACATTGTTAGGGTTAGTCTGCGATGATCTACCTCAAATTATATTTTTGGTCGTTTTCAGTGCGAGTTGTGACTTTGATTATATCGCCGTTATCAAAGTATTTATTTGGGGAGAAATCAAGTCCATGAAAAATAACTACCGGGTGACTTCGTGCAAGCAAAAGTATAAGCCATGTTGCTATTATGTTTGCAAGGATTGCTGTGTCTACTATTACGACTTCACATGTTGTTGTCACACGCTGATTTTCAGACCATGTGCCTGTTGTGGGAGTGATCAGTGTGTTGAATGTGAAACATTCGAGATTTGTCCTGATTGTCCGTGCAATAGACAAACTGGTTGCTGTGGTGAAATCGAAAATGATCCGCAATGGGCTTTACGATTGTACCGAAAGGCAGAAGAAATCTATGAAATGGTTCTTGTTCTGCTTCTCATTTTAATGTTTGTGGAATTATTTAAGAACTGGAATGTGAGTTGGCCCATATAATTTTGGTCCGTATGAAATAACATCGTTAATTATATTAGTATTTAGTATCATATGTGACAACAAACTGCCAAAGACATTACTAATATATACATCTTGTTGGCAAGTGTTGGATACATGCTGATTTATATACACTGTATAGCAAATAAAAATTGCCTGAACAAAATATCATTATTTACCATATAAATGTTATACTAATAACTTGGAATTAAATCATATTTTTTGTGCAAGAAATATTTTGTGAGAATATCCAAATGACACATTTCTATTGCTTTAATCAATATTTTAAACATTGATTGCAAATGTGCCCACGGTAGAATGGAAGAAGAAGGCAATAATTATATATTTATAAAAAAAAACAGCTATAACATCACCCTGAATATCATTCAACAGCAGAAACTGCAGCGTCCGAAACTGAAAACTAAATGTTTTACTATGGTAGGATACATGTATATTTTTTAATTTGCTGAAAATGAAGTACATAAAAAGCCACTATGAGAAATAAGATACAAAGTTACTGTACATGGTAGTTTTGATATACATGTACTTATATAGTAAAAAATCCCCCTCGCAAGAAAATAGACGACTGTAAATAAAGACATGTATGAGATCTTTAGTGGCATTTCGCGGATACCATTCTTGCATAAAATAGACAATGAGTAATTATAAAATACAATTATTTAACAAAATAGAATTTATTATATATATTGAATATAGTACGTATCATAATTAAAGTTTGTTTTACTCTTCATTTTTTAAATGTTTTGAAAGATTTTTTGCCGGAGAAATGTACATTTTTCTTGGCGCATTAGGGATAGTTTCTCTACAAAGAGAACTAAATTTACAATAAATGATACCTATATTAAAAGTATAATCGAAACGTTTCTTGTAAAATTCAATAAGCAAATTTTCGGTTAATGTTTTGGAAAGTATATGGAAACATTTTCTCTACATTTTCCAAAACGGGCATACAGTATGTTAATCAAACAATTTTAAGAAAAGGATTTACATTAAAAAAATGTTTATACCATTTGATTAGAATAAACAGTAAATAAAGCTGCATGCCTTCAACCACAATATTTGACGAAAATCAAACTTTAGTAAAATTTGTGCCATTTGCGCCAAAAAATCTCCGTTGCGTTGTTAAGTCATACCGGTTCAAAAGTTTAAGGAGCAGTAAACTTTCGGTACACGGTTCACTCGGTCATATCATAGTGCATGGTGATATTGTACCTAAAATGTGCACTGTTACTATTTATCGGAACATGAAATCTTTAAACGCTATTCAGAAAACAATACGGTAATCGATTTATACATTTTAAAACATTAAAACGGAATCAAACATCCACGTAGCGCTAAGTAACGTAAATGATATTTTCCGATTTTTCTATGTACAGATTTGTTCACTTCGATGTTAATTTTTCGTTTAAAATAAGTCGTATTTTGAAACAGAGCATTCGCAAAACCATTTTGTAGACTGCTCCTAATGATTTTACGCTTTAAATGAGATTCATTCACTACAATCAGATACGCAAAAATGGATGCCGCCAGCAATCAGTCTGAACACTGTGGGGAGGTCTGATGACCTCTCCAGTAAATAGTAAAATAAACTTTATAACACCAAAATCAACGGCAAAACTGAAAATGTTGCACGTTCGGTTTGATCCCACCTGGTGGTAGTACCAAGTGCAACATACCGTTGTTTTGACTATCTTGAAAAAATAAATACTACTGCTGAGGCAACATCATTGGGAGCCTGTCATTATGGCTTTTAAATAATAAAGTTAGTTCTTTTAAACCACAAACAAAAGTTAGGTTTTAAAAAATTGTCATGGGTGGGGATGCAATAATTTCCAAATGAACATTTCTTAAGGGAGATGTAGGCTTACAAGAAGCAAGAATCAGAATAAGTGAAACTCTTCTTTTATATTTAAAGTTTTGAACAAACTGGTTTTGAATATAACAAAACTCGAAAATATTTAACACCGATTGTTTTAGACATTTTCACATTTTGAAGATACTCGGAGGTTAGATTATGAATGTTTTCAATGAATTTTGTTCTGATTAATTTTTATATATTATGTTTAACTATCAAACAGTAGTTCAGTATTTGCGGGCATTAAATGTAATGTGACACTATTTAAGTTTATTTGATGTTAATGTGTCAAGAGGTGTTTTATCATTGAAATGCATCACACAGATAAAGTTCTATCTTTTAAAGTGGTCATACAACTTGTCGATCTAAAATCGGATCAAGCAAACTTAGCATTCTATACAGGTATGTTTTTTTTTTCTAAATTCATGTAAACAAACAGTTTTGACGAGGAAAACGCATAGTTTTGCAACATTTAAATATATGTATATGTGCAATTAAAGGAATACACGTATAATTCACGTATTTAAGAAAAGGAAGAGAAAATAAATAAAAAATGTCAATTTTAAGCGATCACACAAGGAATAGAAGCAAGCATACACTCTTGCTAAAATATGCAATCGTACATTCTTGCTATAATATGCAAACGTACACAATTGCTAGAATATGTGAATGTACACACTTGCTAGAATATGCGAACGTACACTCTTGCTAGAATACGCGAACGTACACTCTTGCTAGAATATGCGAACGTACAAAATTGCTAGAATATGCAAACGTACACACTTGATAGAATATGCAAACGTACTTGCTAGAATATGCGAACGTACACAATTCCTAGGATATGCGAACGTACACACTTGCTACAATATGCTAACGTACACACTTGTTAGACTATGCGAAGGTACACACTTAGTAGAATATGCGAATGTACTATCTTGCTAGAATATGCGAACGTAAACACTTGCTAGAATATGCGAACGTACACAATTGCTAGGATATGCGAACTTACACTCTTGTTAGAATATGCGAACGTACACTCTTGCTAGAATATGCGAACGAACACACTTGCTAGAATATTCGAACGTACGCAATTGCTAGAATATGCGAACGAACACAATTGCTAGAATATGCTAACGTACACACTTGTTAGAATATGCGACGGTACACACTTGCTAGAATATGCAAACGTATACGTACACTCTTGCTAGAATATGCGAACGTACATACTTGCTAGAAAATGCGAACGTTCTTGCTAGAATATTCGGACGTACACTCTTGCTAGAATATGCGAACGCACACACTTGCTAGAATATGCGACCGTACACACTTGCTACAATATGCGAATGTACGCTCTTGCTAGAATATGCGAACGTACACACTTGCTAGAATATGCTACCGTACACAATTGATAGAATATGTGAACGTACACAATTGCTAGAATATGCGAACGTACACACTTGCTAGAATATGCGAACATACACACTTGCTAGAATATTCGAATGTACGCTCTTGCTAGAATATGCGAACGTACACTCTTGCTAGAATACGCTAACGTACATAATTGCTAGAATATGCGAACGTACACAATTGCTAGAATATGCGAACATACACACTTGCTATAATATGCGAATGTACGCTCTTGCTTGAATATGCGAACGTACACTCTGCTAGAATATGCCGAATGTACGCTCTTGCTAGAATATGCGAAACGTACACACTTCTAGAATATGCGACGTACACAATTGCTAGAATATGTGAACGTACACAATTGCTAGAATATGCGAACGTACACACTTGCTAGAAAGATGCGAGCATACACACTTGCTAGAACATTCGAATGTACGCTCTTGCTAGAATATGCGAACGTACACTCTTGCTAGAATACCCTAACGTACATAATTGCTAGAATATGCGACGTACACAATTGCTAGAATATGCGAAACATACACACTTGCTAATAATATGCGAATGTACACTCTTGCTTGAATAATGCGAACGTACACTCTTGCTAGAATACGCGAACGTACACAATTGCTAGAATATGCGAACTCACACAATTGCTAGAATATGCGAAAATACACAATTGCTAGAATATGCGAACGTACACTCTTGCTAGAATATGCGAACATACACAAATGCTAGAATATGCGAACATACACAATTGCTAGAATATGCGAGCGTACAAACTTGCTAGAATATGCAATCATACACACCTGCTAGAATATGCGAACGTACACAATTGCTAGAATATGCAAACGTACACACTTGCTAGAATATGCAAACGTACTTGCTAGAATATGCGAACGTACACTCTTGCTAGAATACGCGAACGTACACAATTGCTAGGATATGCGAACGTACACACTTGCTAGAATATGCGAACGTACACACTTATTAGAATATGCGAAGGTACACACTTGCTTGAATATGCGAACGTACACTCTTGCTATGCGAACACAATATGCGAACGTACACTCTTGCTAGAATATGCGGTCGTACACAATTGCTAGGATATGCGAACCTACACAATTTGTTAGGATATGCGAACGTTACACAATTGCTAGAATATGCAAACCTACAAATTGTTAGGATATGCGAACTTACACAATTGCTAGAATATGCGAAAATACACAATTGCTAGAATATGCGAACGTACACTCTTGCTAGAATATGCGAACATACACAAATGCTAGAATATGCGAACATACACAATTGCTAGAATATGCGAACGTACAAACTTGCTAGAATATGCAATCATACACACCTGCTAGAATATGCGAACGTACACAATTGCTAGAATATGCAGAAACGTACACACTTGCTAGAATATGCAACGTACACTTGCTAGAATATGCGAACGTACACTCTTGCTAGAATACGCGAATGTACACAATTGCTATAGGATATGCGAACGTACACACTTGCTAGAATATGCGAACGTACACACTATTAGAATATGCGAACATACACACTTGCTTGAATATGCGAATGTACACTCTTGCTACAATATGCGAACGTACACTCTTGCTAGAATATGCGAACGTACACAATTGCTAGAATATGCGAACTTACACACTTGCTAGAATATGCGAACGTACACAATTGCTAGAATATGCGAACTTACACACTTGCTAGAATATTCGAACGCACACAATTGCTAGAATATGCGAACGTACACAATTGCTAGAATATGAAAACAATACACACTTGCAAGAATATCGACTTACACAACTTGCTAGAATATTCGAACGCACACAATTGCTAGAATATGCGAACACACACACAATTGCTAGAATATGCGAACATACACTCTTGCTAGAATATGCGAACTTACACAATTGCCAGAATATGCGAACACACGTTCTTGCTAGAATATGCGAACGTACACTCTTGCTAGAATACTCGAACGTACATTATTGCTAGAAAATGCGAACGTACACAATTGCTAGAATATGCGAACGTACACACTTGCTAGAATATGCGAACATACACACTTGCTAGAATATGCGAATGTACGCTCTTGCTAGAATATGCGAATGTACACTCTTGCTAGAATACGCGAACGTACATAATTGCTAGAATATGCGAACTTACACACTTGCTGCACACAATTGCTAGAATATGCGAACATATACAATTGCTAGAATATTCGAACATACACAATTGCTAGAATATGCGAACACACACACTTGCTAGAATATGCCAACGTACAATTTTGCTAGAATATGCGAACATACACAATTGCTAGAATATGCGAACATACACAATTGCTAGAATAATTGCAGGAAGATGCGAACGTACACACTTGCTAGAATATGCGAACGTACATACTTGCTAGAATATGCGAATGTACACACTAGCTAGAATATGCGAACGTAATAACTTGCTCAAATATACTAACGACCACAGTTTTTAACTATCAGCAGTTTTACACTGTATTTGACTGTTGTTCTTTTCAGATATATGATGGGTGATTTACAAAAAGCTCACGCATGTTATAGATTATAATACTTATAAACATGGTTTACATATGATTTCAGTTGCAAATATATTAGCTGTTGTCAGTTCGTAATGGCATAGATTTTACATATTTGATAGCGTTGGCCGCTATAATGACTCTCTATATTTCATTAAATTTTTTTACAAGAAAAGCATTGATGCAAAGCATCATAGGGCGTCCTAGCAAGAAATGCAGCAAGTGAAGATGAACTAGTAAACATCGGATGAACAGATATTCTTATAAACTTTTCAATGGTTAATTGGTTTTTACCAGAATTGTATATCATTAATTTTATGAATTGTCAGACAAAAGACATTGTTAATCATGAACTTTGGTAGACATGCTAGAGATTATAATATTGAATGTTTTTTCCATAGGAACTTGAAACTCTATCAATATTAACGATACTATCCAAAATATGCATGTCTATAATAACCAAAATATACCCCCACCTATATCGTATAAGTTTATTTATATTATATAGAGGGTATTTTTGTATATTATCATTAATATTGGTTACTTGATAGAATTTCAAGTTCATGTGTAATTTTCTTTGGAACATACAAAATAGAAGTCCAAATGAACAAAGTATGTTAATTGATTTATTGGGATGTCAATCTACTAAATATATTTAAATTTATACTTCAATAACCTCGTCTGACCCACCACTGTGTTTACATTCCTAACAATAAACTTATAACAACTCATGTTAAAAATTGACGACGAAAGTTTCTGTTGTTAAAATGTCACACTTTTCGGCAAATAAACATTAACTCAAACTACCATAAAATCGATTGCCTTCAAACAAAATATAGAACAGTTACCTAAAAAGACTTGGAAAAGCGAATAGGTCTAGTAGATATGGGATACGGACAAAAAGGACGAAAGTACCCCCCCCCCGGACGAAAGCCCCACCCCCATCTAAAAATGACAAGGTGGACAAAGGCCTCCCATGAAATTTTACACGTAGGACAAAAGCCCCCCCCCCCATCAAAAATACAGGTAGGACAAAAGCACCCCCAGTCCATCTAACAATTGTTATTGAGAATCTCGTCAGTTCAAATCTGGAACTTGATGTAAGTTGAGACAAGTCAAAATCGGTATGTTTAATTTAACAAATAAATGCAATTGTTTTAAAAGATAATTTACGTTAAGATTTAAATTTAAATTAAAGGTACAAAAGTTCGTAATTCGTATATATAATTCATTGATGATATGAATGTTTTGATGTTTACTTTATTATATATTGTGCAGTACAAATGTAAATGAATATTTCAGAGAATCGCTGATCAACGCTTATCAAGGAAATAAAAGTGAAAGGCGCATACTTTTAAGATTTATTTGAAGTATAACCCAAGTTCCCGAAAACTGGGCGTGTGAAAAAAGATAGTAATCAGTCTGGTCTATAAACCTTAGGTGGGCTTTTGTTTGATGGGCTGGGGGGGGGGGGCTTTTGTCCTACCTGTAATTTTTGTGGGGGGGGGCTTTTGTCCTATGTGTAATTTTAATGGGGGGGGCTTTAGTCCGGGGGGGCTTTTGTCCTACACTCAGTAGATATGCATTAATGGGGACATTTTAGACTTGAATTTGTGTATCTTTTTTGTTTTAACAAAATCACACTGCAAATTTTCTAATAAAAATATATATTCTGATATACAACATGTCACCGAGCTGTCAGAAATAAAAATTAACGTTTAACTGAAGTGAGTATGCCATGTCTGAATGTCATACTAGTATTCTTTTTATCATCTTCAGTATGAAAGAAAACCGGAGAGACCTACGGAAAAGACAATTTCAAAATAATAACACTACGATATAAAAAATCGTTAAATTGGCCTACTTAATTTTTTTCTATAGATTTTTAAAGTGTGCAATTAGTTGTTTGAATATGTTTCTGCAAAATTCTCCAGTTAGTTATTTATTACGATAGCGCGACACGAATAAACGTTCCGTTAAACTAAAACTACTTCTATAAAAATTTTCGGACTTTCACAATGTTAAGGTCATCATTCTATTTATAGGTACAGCCGTCACATACATAATAACCCACATGAAATAAAAAAAAAAAAAACGAAGAGCGCGGATAAGATAATTTCATTTGAATTATATATTGCGAAATTCTCCAGTTCGCTATTCATTGTACATTTCGCGACATTTCATTTTTCCTCATACCAATCGGAATGATCGGCTATTATGACAGACGGAAAGGCCCGAGAAGTTGCAATTGCCCTTTCTCATTCCATAAAGGGCGTCGCGCTTCGGCGCAGACGCCAAAAACTTGTTCTTTCGGTAGCTATGAAGTTTAATATTTAATAAAAGTATGTAAAATGTTGATGTTTTTCAAGTCTGACGCGTTATTCATAAGAGCGGGTGCTTCTTCCATCTTTTCAGTAAAAATATTGAAAGTTGTGCTACTGCGCATATGAATATCATTTTATATGTACACGAATGCATAGAAAGCACAAGTGTAATTGTAACTTCTGCTTTGCTCTAAGCAAAACTCAGTGTAAATATAGTGCCGTATAACAATACGAGACATTAGAGCTCAATGTAGCTCTAATATATAGATGTTTTATATATCAGTTGCACCCAAATATAGTAAAATGGTTTTGTATATGTTTTTATCCGTTAATAAATCAGTGGCGTGAATTTGAAACTGCCTTGTCTGTCTGTCTGTCTGTTAGACAATCTGTCAGCATTTATCGCTTAGAAAATCTCTGTCCTTTTGGCCATGTCTTGCAAGTTAATTTTAATGAAACTCACCATGAATATTTATTGTTATAAGGAAATTATGCTTATCAAATACTATTAAAATCTTAGCATGAATTATGCCATTTTGTAAATTTTAGCTAATCACGTTAACGTTGTACTAGATTCCAATATTACTTGGCATGAATATATATGATTCACATCAAATTTCGTGGAATTCCATTCGTATTTCTGAGTTAGATGCATACGTGTATATCTCACAATAAGCCTTTGTCAAAACCAGAGCTATTTATTCGAATTATGATGACTCCTCATCTAATTCGATTCAGTTAATAATTTGCATACCTTCAGAAAACTTAAATATTAGGACGAACTGTATTTTTATAGTAATATTCCGAATGAATTTCCTATTGACACTGCATTGATTTAAAAATGTGTCCTGAAACCGATGTCCTTTAACCGATGTTCTTCTTGTTAAACCTTTAGATCTTCACTTTTTATTTTACAATTTTTATTGCTAGATATATGTAAATTCTGTATAAATCAATTAAATATCTTAAAGTTACAAAAAAATAATGGAATCATTAAAAATTACGATCCTAAAACGTTAAAAAATATAGTTACATTTATTATATAGTTTTGTAGTTTTACTTAGATTTTGAAAGATGAATTGTGTAGAACATATGATACTTACAGCTATTTTTGTCGAGGGATACAGAGATTACAATAAGATTTGTACTTTGCACCAAAATGACATTATGCAGTTGAACATATTCTAATGTCTTCGTGGAATCCTCCTGAAGAGACTATACTGTACACAGTACCAAGCCACCTGCCATTTTTGCCACGTCAGACTGTGAAAAAAAAAACTAACTCCATTAGCATTTGCAAAAGATTAAACTGTTTGACTAAAGAGTGCAAGTTTTAAAAGCAATGAAATGCTTGTGACGAGGCTTTTGAATAAATTTAAATAATTTTCAGACATAATTATGCCATAACAAACTGACAACAGCATGATTTCTCATGACACCATATGTAAACATAATTTTAAAAGTATTTTCATTGATAACATGCATCAGCTCTTTATTAATTAGGCACAAAAAATATCGGTAGTCCATGCATCCGGAAAAAACAATATGCAAATATTGCTTAAAACGGCGGATGGTACAAATTTTGAGAGAAAATGTCAGCGTTCGTCTTTCTCCATACATGTATTAACAAAAGTGTGTACGTTGAATTGTCTTAATCCAATATTCATTCACTCGCCGCTTCGCAAATAGTGTTTGAATGTTTACGAATACTAAACAACATTGAACAACATGTTATATAAGGAGAGGAAGCGGACAATGTGAGGCGTACAGTGCACTCATGGATATTGAAATACAAAACTTCTTTCAGGTTAAAATCGCCAAAAGTTTTCAGTTTACTGACATTTGTTCCCCCCCCCCCCCTCGCCACCCCTCGATTTTCAGCAAAATGTAAATCAAGATCTAAATTTGCTTGTATGATTAATTTCTACACTTGTTTCTATTCGCCAGTTTAAGCTTACACACGAGATGAGAAAATACAGAAGTTCTCCTCATGGAGGACAAGAAAACAATGGGTATGACGTAGACAATAGAAGTCCGGTGTATTATGGTAACAATAGTCGTGGGGCTTATGACGGTACCGATAGAGGTTTACCGTATATTGGAAACGACACAAGTCTGGCGGATAGGAGACATGCGTATGATGACAGCGACAGAAGACAGGCGTATGATGACAGCGACAGACGTCTGGCGTATGGAAGAAGCGATAGAAGACAGGCTTATGATGAAAGCGACAGAAGACAGGCGTATGATGACAGCGACAGAAGACAGGCTTATGGTGAAAGCGACAGGAGACAGGCGTATGGTAGAAGCGATAGAAGACAGGCTTATGATGAAAGCGACAGAAGACAGGCGTATGATGACAGCGACAGAAGACAGGCTTATAGTGAAAGCGACATGAGACAGGCGTATGGTAGAAAAGATAGAAGACAGGCGTATGATGAAATCGACAGAAGACAGGCGTATGATGAAATCGACAGAAGACAGGCGTATGATGAAAGCGACAGAAGACAGGCGTATGATCGAAATTATAGAAGTCGGATGAATGATGGAAACGATAGAAGTTTAGCAGATGCCCGGAACGGCAGAGGTTTGGCTAACTATGTAAACAATAGCAGTTCGGCGTATGATTTGAACACTAGAAGCTCTAAACAGGACAATCAAGGCAAGTCATATCAACCATTTAACGTTGTACAGTAAAGACTGTTTACAGTGACCTTCGATGGGAGAAAAGAAAAAAGGTCATTATAGACAGGGAGTCACTGTGGACAGTCTCTACATTATTCGGATATATGAACATATCATACCAATATTTTGTTGAAAAGCAGGATAGTACCATACTAAGGGTTTAATTATATTTTTATTGATATTAAACATATCAAATATCATTTATAAAAAAAAACAAGAGAGTATTAAAATTGCATGTATAATTGGTTAAGATTATAAACTACACCATAACATTAGTATTTAAAAGTTACATATTCATTAAAATGTAATTTATATTGATAAATCTGTTTGTAAAAAAATGTTTAATTTTAATTTTACTAATGAGATGTTACTGTACAGATATTTAATTTTAGTATAATCAGCCTGTCAACTTTACGGTGTTCAATGTATTAATAAAACATTAGATATAAATATTCACATAATCTCTACAGATAAGTGCTCCGAAAAAAATTAATTAACAATCGAGGTTTCAAACATAATCACACCTTTAAGACGTTTGGCATTGTTTATCTTTACTCGCCAAAACACCGCAGCAATTATGTATATGCAGGTGTCTTTAATCATTCTATCGGCGATAATTGGTTGAATCTGTCGCCATTTTGTGTAATTGTCAACAAACAGCCACAGTGTATTACACGCCCGGCAAACTGTCGCTCCACTTCAAAATTGTAGTGTACGGTAAAACGAGCGAACGGCATTTCCGAGATAGAGCGGAAGGCCGATTTAAACGCCTAATTGTAAGTATTGTTTATGTTTTTGTCTTGTTATTCATTTAAGTTTTATTTTTTCGAAAAACGGAAAATGTAGTTCCGTGTAGGATTGATTTAGGCTTCCAATGATCTAAGCTGATACAAAAACAAAATTTTATTAAGCCCAGGAGAACTTTTCTCCCTGACGAAGCGAACAATGATTTGTAGAATATTGAACTTCCCAGCCATAGAAATGCCATACCCTTCAGATTTCTTGAAAAAGTTTATTAGTAAATTATCAACCCATAATAAGAACTTGTCCTTCGTGCAAAATAAATTACTCCTGAAGGATTTCTTAGATTTGTAAATCGATATTTTTCGAAAGTAGTGGAGCGAATGGGCAAGAGATGGAGCAAAAGGTTCGATGTTGAGCGCAAGGCAATATTAATTTGACGTATTAGGAGGAGCGTAGTATATGATTTGTTATATATAAAAGCTATAGAAATTAAAATAGACATAATCAAGTGTTAAGACCGAGATATATATATACCTTTTAAAGACAACTAATAAAGTGTGATATCCTTTCAGCGACTATAGCGTAATAAATGTAATCGCGAAGGTGTCACCGATTTCTGCCGTGTAGATTCCATTATTTATGTTCGAAATTGACCGCCTCCGTGGTCATGGGGTTAGAGTCAATGACTTCTAATCCAGTTACTTCTCTGGAATGGATTCGATCCCCGGGAGATACTTTGGTAGCTTTGCACGGAGGAAGGTAGTCTAGTACTGGTGTACCTCTCCAGGAACGATGGTTAGGAAACTACCCGTCTATATGACTGAAATACTTTTTGGAAAAGGCGTAAAATGAAACAAACAAACAAACAAACAATGTTTGGTATTTGGATGAGGCCCGACCATTGAATCATACACATGTATGCATGGCATAATACAGGATGCCACTTATTCGAGGTCAATCATGATTTTTCACACGGTTATGTACATTTAAAAACGTGTGTCCATGCAAATTCGACAAAATCGAATATTTTCAGTTCTACTGCGAACAAATGTTTCGGAGCAGGTACGTGTAACGCGATTGTTCACGCCAAAATGTTATGTTTTTCGAAAGTTATATATTCAAGGTGCAGAACAGAAGCAAAATTATGCAATGCATGGAACACATTAAATTAAATGGATCACTACTACCGAGTTCAGTTCACAACTAGAACTATCGCTGAATGCGATTCATACCCCCACCAATGTCCTTGACAGAAGACCACTTGGAAAGGTGGTTAAGGGAATAACTTATGTGGCACAAATACATAAAAAGAAATTATCTCTGGTGAAAAAAAGACCAATTGTACAGGTAATAGTATAAATATATATTATCAAATCATGTTCGAAACAGTTACAAATAACCTTTCATTTTCCCAATGTATTAAACATTTTATTTATAAGTCAATTTTTGACCTTCAAGTGTGGCCTTGACCTTAATCTGGCACAAGGGTAAGATGGGTTTTGCACATCACCCAGTTTGGTTGAACATTTGAGTAAAGACAAAGTTTGAAGAAAATCCTTCCAATAGTATAGAATTTATAGAGTAGACACAATATATTGTCTAGTATTGGTTGTATGTAAATTTGAAGAGTTAAAAAGGGGCATTACTTTGTCAAAATGCAATACAGAATAATGAAACTTGACCTGCATATCTTATTTGCCACACCTCATATATCTTTTAAGTTTCAAGCAAATGACTGCGCTAGTTTCAGAATTATTCAAGTACATGTTAAAATTTAAGAACATTTTCTAAGTCAATTTTTGACTTTCAAGTGTGACCTTGATATTTAGCCGGCACAAAGGTGACATGGATTCTGCACATAACCTTGTTGAGGTGAAAATTTGAGTAAAGTTTGAAGAAAATTCTTCCATTAGTATAGGATTTATAGAGCGGACACAACTTATTGTCTAATATTTGATTGTATGTAAATTTGAAGACTTAAAAAGGGGCATAACTTTGGTAAAATGCAATACAGAGTTATGAAACTTGAACGAACAGCATATCGGAATTGTGACCCTTCAAAAATATTTTAAGTTTCAAGCAAATACCTTTTCTAGATTTAGAAATATTCAAATAAATGTTAAAATTTAAGAATATTTTCTAAGTCAATTTTTAAACCTTAAAGTGTGACCTTGACCTTAAGCCAGCAAAAGAGTGACATAAATTCTGCACATCCCTTGGTTGAGATGAACATTTGAGCCAAGATTGAAGAAAATCTTTCAATTAATGTAGGACTTACAGAGCGGACATGACATACTGTGTAATATTAGATGTTTGATATTTGACCTTCAATTGTGACATTGACCATGAGCTGACACATGGGCAACATGGATTCTGCACATCCCCTTGTTGAGGTGAATATTTGAGCCAAGTTGGAAGAAAATCTTTCAATTAGTGTAGGTCTTACAGAGCGGACACAACATACTGTGTAATATTTGATTGTTTGATATTTGACCTTCAATTGTGACCTTGACCTTGAGCTGGCACATAGGCAACATGGGTTCTGCACATCCCCTTGTTGAGGTGAACATTTGAGCCAAGTTTGAAGAAAATCTTTCAAGAAGTGTAGGACTTACAGAGCGGACACGACATACTGTGTAATATTTAATTGTTTGATATTTGACCTTCAATTGTGACCTTGACCTTGAGCTGACACATGGGCGACATGGGTTCTGCACATCCCCTTGTTGAGGTGAACATTTGAGCCAAGTTTGAAGAAAATCTTTCAAGTAGTGTAGGACTTACAGAGTGGACACAACATACTGTGTAATATTTGATAGTGTTTGATATTTGACCTTGTGACCTTGACCTTGAGCTGGCACATGGGCAACATGGGTTCTGCACATCCCCTTGTTGAGGTAAACATTTGAGCCAAGTTTGAAGAAAATCTTTCAAGTAGTGTAGGACTTACAGAGCGGACACGACATACTGTGTAATATTTAATTGTTTGATATTTGACCTTCAATTGTGACCTTGACCTTGAGCTGACACATGGGCGACATGGGTTCTGCACATCCCCTTGTTGAGGTGAACATTTGAGCCAAGTTTGAAGAAAATCTTTCAAGTAGTGTAGGACTTACAGAGCGGACACGACATACTGTGTAATATTTGATAGTGTTTGATATTTGACCTTCAATTGTGACCTTGACTTTGAACTGAGACATGGGCAATATGGGTTCTGCACATCCCCTTGTTGAGGTGAACATTTGAGCCAAGTTTGAAGAAAATCCTTCAATTGGTATAGGAGTTATAGAGCGGACACGAAAGTGGAGACGGACGGACGGACCGACCGACCGACGGACGGACGGACCGACCGACCGACCGACCGACGCGACAAAGCGAATCCATTATAGCCCCCCCACATTTTGTGGTGGGGGTATAATGACTTTCTGCCATTAATAGCTCTAACGTATATGTTCAGAGCAAACACAAATAAGCCACGTTTTCATGAATTTGTAAGGTGGGAAATCTCTATGAAAATGGTCGACAAGGTGTCAGTCGTTATAAGGATATAATACGTTTCAAGATACTTCCTCTCTTATTTAGCATTGTTGTTTAGTTTTTTTATTTTCCTCTCAAAATGTAAATAGAAATGTTTAGTTTTATAATCAAACACTGCAGTACAAATCCTGGTTTAAGAAAAAATTAAGTTAAAATAAGTATCTAAGATTTTCTTTGTTTATCTATGAACAAAACGAACGTAATAAAAAAGGCAGAGCTCAGTCGGTGTTCGGACTAAAATTATCAATATTATAATAGACCTAGCTATAGTAGAAATTTCTATTTACACTTTGAGAGGAAAATAAAAAAAAACTAAACAACAATGCTAAATAAGGGAGGAAGTATCTTGAAACATAACTGAAACACGTGTTTTATCCTTATAGCGACTGACACTTTGTCAACAATTTTCATAGCGATTCCCCACCTTACAAATTCATGAAAACGTGGCTTATTTGTGTTTGCTCTGAACATGTACGTTAGAGATACTAATGAATAATGACAGAAAGTCATTGTTAATTGAACTCGGTAGTAGTGATCCATTTAATTTAATATGTTCCATGCATTGCATAATTTTGCTTCTGTTCTGCACCTTGAATATCTAATTTTTCGAAAAACATAACATTTTGGCCTGAACAAGCGCGTTACACGTACCAGCTCGGAAACATTTGTTCGCGGTAGAACTGAAAATATTCAATTTTGACGAATTTGCACGGACACACGTTTTTAAATGTACATAACCGTGTGAAAAATCATGATTGACCTCTAATAAGTGGCATCCTGTTTTATGCCATGCATACATTTGTATGATTCAATGGTCGGGCCTCATCCAAATTTCGAACATAAATAATGGAATCTACACGGCAGCCATAGGTGACACCTTCATTACATTTATTACGCTATATAGTCGTTGAAAGGATATCACACTTTATTAGTTGTCTTTAAAAGGTATATATATCTCGGTCTCAACACTTGATCACGTCTATTTTAACTTCTATAGCTTTTATATGTAAAAAAATCATAGACTACGCTCCTCCTAATACGTCAAATTAATATCGCCTTGCGCTCAACATCGAACCTTTTGCTCCATCTCTTGACCTTTCGCTCCACTACTTTCGAAAAATATCGATTTACAAATCTAAGAAATCCTTCAGGAGTAATTTATTTTGCACGAAGGACAAGTTCTTATTATGGGTTGATAATTTACTAATAAACTTTTTCAAGAAATCCGAAGGGTATGGCATTTCTATGGTTGGGAAGTTCAATATTCTACAAATCATCGTTCGCTTCGTCAGGGAGAAAAGTTCTCCTGGGCTTAATAAAATTTTGTTTTTGTAACAGCTTAGATCATTGGAAGCCTAAATCAATCCTACACGGAACTACATTTTCCGTTTTTCGAAAAAATAAAACTTAAATGAATAACAAGACAAAAACATAAACAATACTTACAATTAGGCGTTTAAATCGGCCTTCCGCTCTATCTCGGAAATGCCGTTCGCTCGTTTTACCGTACACCACAATTTTGAAGTGGAGCGACAGTTTGCCGGGCGTGTATTAGCGTGTCGTCGATTGGTCAATGCAAACTGCCGTAGATACAACGCGCGTTCTGATTCGTCAATCGCATAAATACGTAATGAGAAAAGATAAACATAGTGAACTCTTGCCTTGTGGCGTGTTTTGAACTTTGTTGACACGCGTTCTTAATTAGCGGATTAACGGTAATTGGTTGTAATTGAGAGGTAAACAAATTATTAACAGACCTAGCGGCGTAAATAAGTATGACGGAAAATTATAAAAATCGGGCGACTTCAAATTCTCTTTGAAGTTTGTTTTAGGCAAAGTCGCTGATCCGAAGGCGACTTCTTCGCCAAAGTCGTCACCTAGTTCAAGCCTTGCTCCCCTTGCAAAAGTCGCTGATCACGGCTCAAATACCGTAAGGGGTGACTAAATCATGGTCGTTGTACGGACTAGACAGGGAGTCGCTACATACAGACCATTTATATAGTAAATACTGTTGGGCGCACCTAACTATGGTCACTAAAGACAGAACGTCGCTATATACAGGGGGTCGCTAAGACAGTCTTTACTGTATGTTGTTTTTACCATATTTAGAATTTTGGTAACATTGGGTAATACTGACAATGTCTTTTAAATAGAATGTTGTTATCCACGATCTGTCTACCCAAACGAAATAAAAAAAAACGGGGAGCGGTGGCCTAGTGGTTAAGGTGTCTGCCTCTCAACCCAGAGATCATGGGTTCGAGCCCTACTCGGATCACTGACCATGTTTCTTCATATGACACCAGTACTGGTTGGTTCCAGGAAACGGACTCGAAAGTGATTAATATAAGTTGCAAGAACTTGTTTCGCAATCGAGCTTAAATAAATATGTTTAAACCAAATAAAAAAAATCATTATTATTATACATAAACTTCATGATTTACCAATGAAAAGCGATGTTACAAACTGCCGTATATCAATTGGCATTTTGTATTTAAGCGTTTATTGATATAATTAAAATTCACGCGTCTTGGTTTTCAATGTTATATAATAATTTATATAACACACGTTTTATATAAAAGATTGCCTGTTGAAATATGTTGAGCTACTTTTCGTTTGAAATTATGTAATATACTGATAGAATGAATTTTATTGATTGAGTTTTCCCACAAGGTCTTCTTCCTGATTTTTTACGATAAAAAAAGGAATTGGCACACTTGCAATTTGTGAGATACTCGATTTAACACCTAGTATGCTGGCGGCTACGTCCGTGCCTTCTGATCCTAGTATCACACTGTCGGTGTTATATCGTCCGTGCCTTCTGATCATGGCATCACACTGTCGGTATTATATCGTCTGTGCCTTCTGATCATGGCATCACACTGTTGGTATTAAAACGTCCGTGACTTCTGATCATGGCATCACACTGTTGGTATTATATCGTCCGTGCCTTCTGATCATGGCATCACACTGTCGGTATTATATCGTCCGTGCCTTCTGATCATGGCATCACACTGTCGGTATTATATCGTCCGTGCCTTCTGATCATGGCATCACACTGTCGGTATTATATCGTCCGTGCCTTCTGATCATGGCATCACACTGTCGGTATTATATCGTCCGTGACTTCTGATCATGGCATCACACTGTCGGTATTAAAACGTCCGTGCCTTCTGATCATGGCATCACACTGTCGGTATTATATCGTCCGTGACTTCAGATCATGGCATCACGCTGTCGGTATTATATCGTCCGTGACTTCTGATCATGGCATTACACTGTTGGTATTAAAACGTCCGTGCCTTCTGATCATGGCATCACGCTGTCGGTATTATATAGTCCGTGACTTCTGATCATGGCATCACACTGTCGGTATTATATCGTCCGTGCCTTCTGATCATGGCATCACACTGTTGGTATTATATCGTCCGTGCCTTCTGATCATGGCATCACGCTGTCGGTATTATATCGTCCGTGACTTCTGATCATGGCATCACACTGTCGGTATTTAAACGTCCGTGACTTCTGATCATGGCATCACTCTGTCGGTATTATATCGTCCGTGCCTTCTGATCATGGCATCACGCTGTCGGTATTATATCGTCCGTGACTTCTGATCATGGCATCACACTGTCGGTATTTAAACGTCCGTTACTTCTGATCATGGCATCACACTGTCGGTATTAAAACGTCCGTGCCTTCTGATCATGGCATCACACTGTCGGTATTAAAACGTCCGTGCCTTCTGATCATGGCATCACACTGTCGGTATTAAAACGTCCGTGCCTTCTGATCATGGCATCACACTGTCGGTATAATATCGTCCGTGACTTCTGATCATGGCATCACACTGTCGGTATTAAAACGTCCGTGCCTTCTGATCATGGCATCACGCTGTCGGTATTATATCGTCCGTGCCTTCTGATCATGGCATCACACTGTCGGTATTATATCGTCCGTGACTTCTGATCATGGCATCACACTGTCGGTATTAAAACGTCCGTGCCTTCTGATCATGGCATCACGCTGTCGGTATTATATCGTCCGTGACTTCTGATCATGGCATCACGCTGTCGGTATTATATCGTCCGTGCCTTCTGATCATGGCATCACGCTGTCGGTATTATATCGTCGGTGACTTCTGATCATGGCATCACACTGTCGGTATTATATCGTCAGTGCCTTCTGATCATGGCATCACACTGTCGGTATTATATCGTCCGTGCCTTCTGATGTCGGTATTATATCGTCCGTACCTTCTGATCATGGCATCACACTGTCGGTATTATATCGTCCGTGCCTTCTGATCATGGCATCACACTCTCTGTATTATATCGTCCGTGCCTTCTGATCATGGCATCACGCTGTCGGTATTATATCGTCCGTGCCTTCTGATCATGGCATCCCACTGTTGGTATTTAAACGTCCGTGCCTTCTGATCATGGCATCACACTGTCGGTATTAAAACGTCCGTGCCTTCTGATCATGGCATCACGCTGTCGGTATTATATCGTCCGTGACTTCTGATCATGGCATCACGCTGTCGGTATTATATCGTCCGTGCCTTCTGATCATGGCATCACACTGTCGGTATTATATCGTCCGTGCCTTCTGATCATGGCATCACGCTGTCGGTATTATATCGTCCGTGCCTTCTGATCATGGCATCACACTGTTGGTATTTAAACGTCCGTGCCTTCTGATCATGGCATCACACTGTCGGTATTAAAACGTCCGTGCCTTCTGATCATGGCATCACGCTGTCGGTATTATATCGTCCGTGACTTCTGATCATGGCATCACACTGTCGGTATTAAAACGTCCGTGCCTTCTGATCATGGCATCACACTGTTGGTATTTAAACGTCCGTGCCTTCTGATCATGGCATCACACTGTCGGTATTATATCGTCCGTGACTTCTGATCATGGCATCACACTGTCGGTATTAAAACGTCCGTGCCTTCTGATCATGGCATCACACTGTCGGTATTATATCGTCCGTGACTTCTGATCATGGCATCACACTGTCGGTATTATATCGTCCGTGCCTTCTGATCATGGCATCACGCTGCCGGTATTATATCGTCCGTGACTTCTGATCATGGCATCACACTGTCGGTATTATAACGTCCGTGACTTCTGATCATGGCATCACACTGTCGGTATTAAAACGTCCGTGCCTTCTGATCATGGCATCACACTGTCGGTATTATATCGTCCGTGCCTTCTGATCATGACATCACCCTGTCGGTATTAAAACGTCCGTGCCTTCTGATCATGGCATCACACTGTCGGTATTATCTCGTCCGTGACTTCTGATCATGGCATCACACTGTCGGTATTATATCGTCCGTGACTTCTGATCATGGCATCACACTGTCGGTATTATATCGTCCGTGACTTCTGATCATGGCATCACACTGTTGGTATTAAATCGTCCGTGCCTTCTGATCATGGAATCACACTGTCGGTATTAAAACGTCCGTGCCTTCTGATCATGGCATCACACTGTCGGTATTACATCGTCCGTGCCTTCTGATCATGACATCACACTGTTGGTATTTAAACGTCCGTGCCTTCTGATCATGGCATCACACTGTCGGTATTATATCGTCCGTGACTTCTGATCATGGCATCACACTGTCGGTATTAAAACGTCCGTGCCTTCTGATCATGGCATCACACTGTCGGTATTATACTTGGAAATTGTCTCTTTACCTAAAACTGATGATAGGTCTTGTCCAGATTATTTAGCGGTTGTGTTGATATTTTTTTTTTATTCTGGATCAAGTCAATAAGCCACAATGAATAGTCGAACGAATAGTATAATTATACGAGAATGAAATATTCTAAACATGATGTAAATGTTTGAATGCATTCATTTAAAAAAACTGTTTACTTAAAATGTGAAAAATAAAAGTTCGCCTTTATACATGCAAGTCACAAGTTTATTAACACATATTTTTACTTATCAATGATACACTTACTGCCATCACCTGAAAAATAGATATCTGCGGCGTGGCCGAGTGGTTAACGCGTCGGACTAGTAATCTAATTAAGGATTGCTGACCGCGTGGGTTCAAACCCTGTCAAGGGCAGCCGTTGTTTCCTTGAGCAAGAAACTTTACATTCATTACTTAGTACTGGTTGGTTCCAGGAACGGATTCGAGAGTGTTTCAATAAGCTTAAAGCTTCCAATACAATCGAACTAAATAAATTTGTATAAACTAAATAGATATCTAATCTAGTCCTGATACTGATAACATAACCAAATGTGTTCACGGGTAAAGATCTGTAACATACAAACGATTCTTTACTCACTATTGTAATTTGCTATTCTACTTTATATTAAACGTAAGATGTTAATAAGTGTATTATTTTGCTTTTTGCTTTTGAAATGTAGAGCTGAAACTTTTATTTACATGGGGAGCTGCTATGTTTTGTATTTAGAAATAGCGCGATTTTGAAACCTGTAAGTCACATTGCAGTTCGTACAAAAAAACAAAAACAATAAATACAACAAAACAAAAGAAAACAAAAATGGTCATAAAGTTGTGACATTTGGGGATTAAATAATATTCACCAACATTACATTTTTCATATTCACTTATGCTGTATAATGTAACATTATTTACGTGAGAGAAAGAATACTTGATGAAAAAAATACCACCAACAGCAACAAAACACACGCACGCACGCACAAACGAACGCACACACAATTTATTACCTATTCCAGAGGCAAAATAATTCATACTCATGTTGAGTAAACATTTTAAATATTTACCGTATTTAATCCGTGCTTTTAAACAATGTTTTGTTTAGGGTATCATGATATACCGCAATATCAGGATAATTCATTTCGACGAGCATTCCAAAGCCCTCCACAAGGCGGTAATTATGGATATGATCATCATGCAGGGAGCCAAACATCTTTACAGATGCAGCTTATGGGTGACACAAAACCAATACAATCTCAGCCTAGAAGTCAGCCACCGCTTATAATACAACCAAAACCTTGGGGACATGCAAATACGGATGTTCCAGGTAACATAAACATACATGCAGTACTTCATTTTTCTATTTCTCAATTTATTACTGATAATGTAACGTTAATATATTTAATTTTAATAATCTAAGCAACAGTCTTACCAAATTAAATTTTAAAAAATCATGAAATTTTTTTAGCAATAAATGAATTAATTTCAATACAATTTATACACCTGGAAATAATAAATAGTTAATGTTTTGTAAACGCTCCAACACCATTTTTATAAACACTAACATTTTTTTTTGTAAAACAACACATTTGCTATTTACTTGTACATGCTTTTAAGGCATACTACAATAGATCTAAAGATGCATTGCTTTTATCCAGGGCACGACAAAGAAGAATACCTGCCATCCATAGAAAGCATTATAATTGGCCGAAGTATCAGTACGTTCTTCATCCTTCTTGACGTATGTCTCAATTGGTTACAATATGCAAATTGGGTAGGCCATATTGTTTTACCTGACTGGCTAAATATTCTTGAAACAGCAAACGTTCTACATGGAGATAAACTAACAGTACAATGCAACGAAGGATCTCCGAACCTTACACAATATTTTTTGATATTTATTACAATAGGAACACTTTTTGGGTTGTTGCAAATTGTCAGCATGGTTGGTGAAACATTGCTAGAATATCAGAAACGCTTCCAGTCTGAAAATTCCAGTGTAAAATGTAAAGGTTTTCAGTTTATGCATGGGTTTACAGAAACTCTTTTGTCATTTCTCTGTGACGACTTGCCTCAGATCATACTTCTTGTATGCTTCACCTGGTATTGTTACATCGATTACACAGCCGTGATCAAAGCAGTTGTATGGCACATATTGAAATATATAAAAAATGGCGTTCGTATTGCTACTTGTAAGCAAAAGTACAAACGATTTTGCCAGGAGTGTTCTGGAGAGTGCTGTAAAGAGCCTTGTTGCAGTGTTCAATGTTGGATAGAATATTTTTGTGGAAATTGTAAGCAATGCCGGGATGAGTACTGTTGCTGCTGTCAAGATAACTGTTTTGACTGCAGCGACTGCCTGTGTATGAGAGCAGATGGCTGCTGTAGTAGCATCGACAAAGATCCGAAATGGGCCTATAAAACATATGAAAATTTACAATACCTGTACGCATTGTTAATCGTCGCATTTATTATTATGTCTGTTTTTAAAATTCTTGGCATACTACATGGACCAATAAGTGCTTTCTCATTTCACCTATCTGATTAAAATCAGCTCATGAACATGTATGCTGAGCTGTCCTTCCCTTAAAATAACAAAATTATACAGAACGCTTCAGCTGTTTTTCCAATTTAGAAGATTATTGTGACAATATCAAGCAAAAGACGTATTTATAAGAACCGCCTTATCCAATGGTAAACAGCCAAGGGGTTTTATTCCGGATACTAACTGTTTATTTGAAACGCACGCTCTAACTCAATATTTGGACAACTATATTTTTACCACATGATGGTTTCGATCAAGTTACCAGTGGAACAAGTCTTACAAAACTGTGTTATTAAGTGAGAGAAAACTTGTTAATGATCTGTGAACTGTTTTTGACGCCAAACTCACTAAGAATATACTGTGTATACTTTGCGCAGTCAAATGGCGTATTCTCTGGACCATTGCTCCTGAATTGAAAAATAAATATATGAAAAAAAAAACTTCTAGGGAGTTAAAATTCAAAATAAAATCAACGTATATATATGCTTTGGTATATACATGTATGAGTATATGTTTTCTTTTTAAGGGAAGGGAGAGATAGGGCACATTTCAACATATTGCACCGTTCATCCCATTATGATATAATACATGTAAAATTAGCATATAAGTTTACTTCTTACCTTGCCCTGTATGTACATATCTGATGTATTCATTAAATGAAATTTGTTCCAAAAGTGTGTTTCATATGTTTGTTATCTTGTATATGTTTGTTACTAGCTTATAGTGTTTCTCTTGTTCAGAAACATGAAGTTTTTCATTAAAAATTTTCATTTAAATCATCAAAGCAACCAAAACTTGTAGGAACTTGAAGCACATCAATTTCGATCTGATATCCAAATGATGGTGAAATTAGTTCAATCATTTATTTGTTTTTGTGCACGCGCGCGCGCGCGCGCACACACACACACACACACACTCACACAATAAAAGTTCAAATAAGTTAGTAACAAAACGGAAATTAGGCTGTGGGCCAATAAAGCGGTCACTTCCCAACCCAGGGTTTGTGTACACAATAATTTTCTTAGAGAGCATTTGCCTGTTTTCTGCCATCCAACCAATGGGGCGTTACAGAAATATGACGAAAAATGAATTACCTCCTTTTTACAAAATTATGTGAAATAAGGTTGGTGACAAAGTTTCATTGAATAAATGACATCTGGTTTTGCAGGTAACAATTATACACATCAGAGATTAAAAAAAGATTTAAAATTAATTCACACTGCTGGTATTTTTTGAGACATTACTGAACAAAATCACCGTATTTTTTTGGGTTCCCCCCACCCCTCATATTTTTCAGTCAGTGTTTGTTGCATATACTCAATGGTAATTATACAAAATATTGTTTGTTTGTTTTGATAGCTCTATCTGAATGTCATTTTGACATAGCTACCGCTATAGAGTACATTTATTACCAATCCATTTTCCGTAAGTCTTCGAACATCATAGTATGAATACTCAGAACGGATTCGATATTTTGGTCTAACTTACGCTAAGGAACTAAACATGTAAACAAACAGTAATTTAAAGCTGGGAGTTGTGACTAGTTTTTTCCCAATATATCAAGTAAACGTCCACCTAAAATAAATTAATTCATAGATATAAAAGTAAACAATACATTATTTTTATACTTATTATTATGGTTGTAGAAACAGAAAGTACAAAATGCCAACCTGTTGACTTTAAGTCGTAGTACATCACTCAAAAATGGTCGTCAGACATATTTTTAAATCATAGCTGAACCGGAAAAAAAATTTTTTTCCTTTGGTTGTCAAATATACACATTCGTTTTACATTGGAAACCACGTGGTAGAACTACTTTCAATCTGTTTTAACTCCGAGGTTATTATGAATAAAAGCCAATGACGTTCCGACTGCTAACCCGGCCCGCCTCGATAAACATTCAATTTCTATATATATATATTTGAAAAGGTCTGGCTAATTATTCAGCTTTTATCTATTAAGAAGAACTCTGTAGTGTAATTGTACGTGTTTACAGAAAAAGATACATTTGTAAATAATTTCTACATTTATGAATATACATCAATGCTGTTATATGATTGTTTTATACTTAAAGGTAAAATCGTTCGCATTAAAAAAACAAAGTTCATTAATACATGCCTAGTAAACAATAGAGCTACTACTTTTGGAGGTATACGGTAAATCGCTCGTTACTTCCAATTAGTGTCGCTAAAATCAGGTGACAACAAAGGTAAAGGGTTGTCATTTTTTATATATTTTGAACATTCTACACCAAATTTCGAAATTCTAAAAATGCTTTATCATATAGATTTGATTAGAGTTTCCAAAAAACGTAAAGTTGATAAATGTGTTTAAAATTAAGTTGTGGCGGCATTTCCCAATTAGCGAATTAAACGTTGCAATGGATCGTTTCATCATGAAACTGATTATTTTTCCTCCTATCTTCATCTAAACAGCGATTCAGATTAAAAGCAAAAACGTTTCAGATCAAATTGAAATCAGAAATCAGAAAAAAATAGTTATTAAAGAAAATATAGGATATTTGTTCTGTGAGACAGCTCTGCCGTGAAGGAGTTTTGTATGTTTTTGGGGGTGGGGGTGGAAAAGGAGGTAATTTTGAAAGCAGTGTATTTCCTTTACGCCCAATTGCAGAAAAAGAAAACTGTTCCACCAACCATATGCTTTCAAAATAATGTATATATAGTGTATAAAATTCACTCAAGGTAATGGGGAGTGGGGGTTATTGGCTGTCCAATGTCTACAAGTCTTTCAAAGCACTACACGAAATTAATTTTTGTACTAACTCTTGAAACAATCGTATATAAATGGCGCCACAGAACATCAGAAAGAATTATCATATGATCAGGATTATTACATAATATTTATAAAGTTTAAAAAAATGGGACTGACCTGCACAATAGTTAATATATGTTCGGGATTTATATGAGAGTATGTACATAATCAGTTCATACATAAAATAAACGAATATGAGCCCACATATCAGCAAGGGTAGCAACACCGCATCCGACAATATTAAGGCATAAATGACAGCTGAAAAGGCTCCCAGTTGGGCACCGAAAAACAGAATGCAGTACAGAAAGAAGGCCCCAGATGTGGAAAAAGGGAATATGAATCAATTATACACAATTAAAGTGAATGAGAATCATATGTAGTCGACCTTAATTTTTTTTAGATAATTATGAACTTTAACTTTGCAAAAAAAAAAGGAAAAGGAATGAAATGGAGGATGTCAAATATGACTGAAAGATAACAAAAAATAGAATTGTTATATAATTACAGGCAAATTTTATTCGAGGTTTGGTATGATTTGGTTCTCTTTAGAACGTTTACATTATCGTGACTAAAATCAAAATAACATCAACTCACATTCTGATATAAGATACTGTATACTAGTTTTGACAAGAAAATGCCTGTTGAACCCATAATGAGAATATATAGGGGTCGTTTCCCAAAATCGCATGGGGCGGCCATTTTTTTTTCTAAATTAGTACTCATTTGCATAGAAAAATGCCCCTTACTAACATCGCGCGGCGTGTTGAAAACGGACCGCGGACCATTTTGTTTCTTTTTAAGAAGACATCACAGTTAAAAATAGTAATAAAAAATATACCCCGGAAAGTATACGAGCGATCGTTACAGATTGGGGTTTTAAATCGGATATTGAAGGAGGTCTCGCCCTGACGGGGAAAATTAAGTAAAAATTATCCTTACCATAAAAAATAAAATAAATAAAATACTTACCTTAAAATGTCCAATTGGACATTTTGTATTAAATAATATTTTATATTTTCAAAAAAATTATAAAAAAAAGTTTTAAAAACTGATTAATTTAATAATTTTTTTTAAATGCGTTTTCTATAAGCATTCCAAATAAAAGAAAATGCGTTAGTAATATGATATAATTGAAAACTGACTGACGTATTGACTCTCTATAATACTATAAAATAAGACAATTAATTTATTAATTCAAACCTGTTTCTTTATAAACTCTTTTAACATATGACAAAACATATGAAATTAATTTTCAATTTAATTTGATATTATGACTCTGTCAAATAATGTTTCTATATAAAGTAATAATAAGGATTTTTACTGTAAAATAATTTAATAAATATCTGCGTAAAATACATACATACGATGTTGCCTCCTCGGCGGTCCGAATCCAAATGACACAAATCATCAGTGTATTATTTCTAAATGCTCTGATCACGAGTGTAAGTCGCCACAATGTATGGCGTGTGTTTATTTAGGGACGGAAACACTAACAATGGCCTATTGAAATGTTAAAGTTAATCCCTTTAAAGTAGCCACTCGGTCTGGCGTATGTTTATTTAGGGACGGATATGTGGACAATGCTCCATTCAACTGTCAAAGTTTATCCTAAAAGCGGGTAAGCAATAAGCTATTGAAGTGTCAGTTTACCACTGGGGCATAATTTTAAACTCATTTTCGAAAAGAAATGTCAACATGTTTTGAAAACTGATCATCACGAATGTGCAAAATTATAAAAAAAACATATAATTAATGTTAACTAAAACCGAACAAAAATACAACAGAAAAAGCGTTTTTTCGTCTTTTGTGCAACATTTTACGATATACATTTTGATTTTTTTCGCATCAAATGATAGACCTGACAGAATGCTTCAAAATAAACCCTAGGTTCTCGATTCGATTTTTAGCCGTTCTCGAGTTATGGCCAATTAGCGATTTTTAAACCAATTTTTCAAAGTTCATAAAACCCTTAGATTTATATGCCGTTTGAAAGATATCTGCGAGTAGATACAGAAAATGTATTATTATATGGATCTATCTCTTACTATTTCTGAGATAGGAGAGTTTGAATATGGCAGACAAAATCACTCATGCGGAAAAACGCGCATAACTTTTTCGTTTATGAACGAAACATAGTCGTGTTTGGTATCAAATTGAAGGTCTTGACGAGTACATTCAGACGCTGTTGATAATAAAGTTCATACTGGAAGTCAAAATCACTCATGCGTAAAAATATATATATTGGTTACTAGAGCAACCGAATACGATATGATTTTTAATTGTTGACTACCAATTGATGAGTAGATTAAGAAAATGTGTAGGTTTATGGGTCTATCATTATGAGTTACTGAGATATTACAGATATAAACTTAGTGTATTTAAACCACCAATGTTAGATAAAGCGTTATTGCACTAAATTGTTTGAAAATATTCAAACGAGTGTGGCGTCCTTATTTATGGGTCGATTTTATCCATCTTGGTATCAAATTAAACTTTCAGACGCTGTTGATAGTAAAGTTCATACTGGAAGTCAAAATTAATCATACGTAATAAATATAAATTTTTTATATTGAACCCACTATAATTCACTTATGCATGAATCGATTTTAATGATATTGGTCAAAGAAAAACAAGGTATGATTTCCTATTCATAGGTCATGAAGTCATGAGCTAAAAATAACTTGCAATCAAATGCTTGAATAAACTGACCAATCAGGAGAAACCTTCATGTATAAAGAAATACAGAATCTAAGATTTTTCTCATTCTGTCTTTAGAATTCTAACCCTCAAGATGGACTATGATGATTTTTGGACTGAATATACACCTACAGACTTGTGTCAAGTCGACCAAATGGAACAAGCATTTATGACATTAAGCTCAAAAACTACTGAGGAA